CCAGATAAACGGGTAACACTTGCCTATTTTGGATACTTTTTGCCACACAGTGGCTTTAGTCCAATACAGATGAATTGTGAAGATGTGGCAAGTAATCAGTCCCTCATCCTGGAGTCTGTAGACTCCAGGCTGAGGAACTTTATTACTTTATTGTCTTAGCCTCAAGTTTTTTATTGGACTGATGAAGCCACTGTGGCAAAACGTTTCCAAGTGTAACCCATGTGTAATTTATCAATTTGTCCTGGAACCATTATCTACTAACTGAATAGTCTCCTGGCTTTTGCTTGATGGGTCTAACTTTCGCCCACCCACATCCACTTGTGTAACCTATTTTGTTGAAGCTACCCAGGGTTTATGCATCAATGGCTATTCCACAACTTATCAATTTTTTCCAACTATTTATGTCTTCAAATTATACACCCTAAATCATATCCCTTCTTAATTCCATGCATTTCCAGAGTGCAGATTCACTACCTTTTGTATCCTCGCAGGAAAAATACCTGAGATGGGAGCAACTTTCTATTTTCCAACACATCCATGTACATTCTCTAATGGAGTCCAGAACTGTAGCATAATCAAAATATGGCTTTGCCTACCCTACCCCTCAACCCGCCAAGCCAAGTTACCTACCCTACCTCACCCTGAAGGCATTACTAACTTTAAACATGAGCATTGCAGATCTACTGACCAGTGCTAGAAAAGTCCAAGTCACAACCACTTCATGTACTTCTATGGGGTCCAGACTTCAGCGTCCTATCGTGCAGAAGGGGAATTACCAGAGAACCCTTAGACAATATGGTTATCAACCGAGCTTTTTTTTTTTTATAATGGACCATGAAGCCAACAACAGTCTAGCTGATCAGGCCTTTATTCACCAGTCAGCCTAGTCATGGAGCAGGCCGCAGGAATGTTGACTCCAGACAGGTAATGTTCATACTGAAGAATTAGAAACATTTGCAACACATCTGGGTATTTATTGTAGCAGTTTCGCCAACTAGTGGTTTTATGAATACAATGACAACGTGAAGAATTATATACAAAATATGAGGTAATCTGTCCCTCAGAGGCTGCCATAGTGAAGAGCTCTGTTCCACAAGGAATAGTACTAGCCCCCCCATCTTATTCCTCATCCTCATATCAGACAGATATACACCACAGCACCGTATAATCCTTTGCGGATGATACTAGGATTTGCATGAGGCTGTCATCTGCTGAGGACGCGGTTAACCTCCAAGAAGATATAAACAAAGTTTTCCAGTGGGCAACAGAAAACAATACGATGTTTAACGAGGACAAATTCCAACTACTCCGTTATGGAAAACTGGAGGAGATAATAACTAGAACAGAGTATACTACAAACTGGTCATACAATAGACCGGAAAAATAATGTAAGGGACTTGGGAGTAGTAATGTCTGAGGATCTCGCTTTCAAGGATCACAACAGTGCCACGATCACAAGTGCAAAGAAAATGATAGGATGGATAAGGATGGATAATGAGAACGTTCAAAACGAGAGATGCCAAGCCAATGATGATCCTATTAAAATCTCTTGTTCTCTCTAGGCTGGAATACTGCTGTACATTAACATCTCCATTCAAAGAAGGTGAAATTGCAGATCTAGAGAGTGTAGAGATCCTTTACTGCACGTATAAGTTCTGTCAAGCACCTTAAACTACTGGGAACGCTTGTAAGCACTTGACTTGTACTCGTTGGAATGCAGGAGAGAGAGATATCATAATCTACACTTGGAAAATCCTGGAAGGAATGGTCCCGAATCTGCACACAGAAATCACTCCCTACGAAAGTAAAAGACTGGGCAGGCGATGCAAAATGCCCCCAATTAAAAGTAGAGGCGCCACTGGTGCACTAAGTGTCCGGGGCCCAAGACTGTTCAACAGCCTCCCATCAAGCATTAGGGGAATTACCAATAAACCCTTGGCTGCCTTCAAGAGAGCTGGACAGATACCTCAAGTCAGTGCCGGATCAGCCGGGCTGTGGCTCGTACGCTGGACTGCGTGCGGCCAGCAGTAACAGCCTGGTTGATCAGGCCCTGATCCACTGGGAGACCTGGTCATGGACCGGGCCGCGGGGGCGTCGATCCCCGGAATAACCTCCAGGTAACCAGACTCAGAGGTTGCACATTTTCAATTCATCTTGTCGGTATTATATAAAATTTATGTACAATGTTTATACTATTTCATTATGTTTACATGCAGCTCATGGGGAAGGTTATATGAACATTAGTTTAAAAACATAAGAAGGAACACTGCAGCAGGCCTACTGGCCCATGCAAAGCAGGTCCAAGTCTACTACCGGCTAAAGCCGATGCCCCAACCTAGTCAGGTCAGGTCACATTCACTTAAGGAACACGGCAACTGACCTAGTATCACAAGTTAATCAGGTCCAACTCGCACCCACCCATGTATTTATCTAAACCCATTTTTAAAACTACACAACGTTTTAGCCTCTAACTGTACTCTGGAGTTTGTTCCACTCATCCACAATTACCATAAGAACATAAGAATGAAGGAACACTGCAGCAGGCCTACTGGCCCATGCGAGGCAGGTCCAAGTCTCCTACCGGCTTAAGCCAATGCACCCAACCTAGTCAGGTCAGGTCACATTGACTTAAGGGAGGAACACGGCAACCGACCTGGTAGCACAAGCTAATTAGGTCCAACTCACACCCACTCATGTATTTACCCAACCTATTTTTAAAGCTACACAACGTTCTGGCCTCTATAACTGTACTTGGGAGTTTGTTCCACTCACCCACAACTATTACCAAACCAGTACTTTCCCATATCCTTCCCGAATCTGAATTTTTCCAACTTAAAACCATTGCTGCGAGTCCTGTCTAGGCTAGATATTTTCAGCACTATTTACATCCCCTTCATTTATTCCCGTCTTCCATTTATACACCTCAATCATATCCCCCCTAATTCTACGTCTTTCTAGAGAGTGCAGATTCAGGGCCCTTAGTCTATCCTCATAGGGAAAAGGGTTTCTGATACATGGGATCAACTTTGTCATCCTCCTTTGTACAAATTTTTCCCGAGCATTTATATCCATTTTGTTTAAAACGTGACCAAACTGTGCCCGATAACCTAAATGAGGCCTAACCAAGGATGTAGAGTTGAAAAACAACCTGAGGACTCCTATTATTTATGCTTCTTGATATGAAGCAAAGGATTCTATTAGCTTTATTGCGAACACTTATGCACTGTTGTCTTGGTTTCAGATTACGGCCTGGTCACAGACCGGGCCGCGGGGGCGTTGACCCCCGGAACTCTCTCCATGTAAACTCCAGGTAAACCAGAACTCCTAAATCTTTTTCGCAATCCGTAATATTAAGATCTACATTACTTAGTTTATATGTGGCATGGCTATTGACTTGTCCAACATTTAGAACTTTGCATTTGTCTATATTAAACTGCATCTGCCACCTCTCCGACCCCTGCATCAGTCTACTCAAATCTTCTTGGAGTGCTCTAATGTCCTCGTCAGAATGAATTCGACGGCCTATTTTGGTGTCATCGGCAAACTTGCTGATGTCGCTCTTTATGCCCTCATCTATGTCGTTTATGTAGATTGTGAACAGCAGGGGGCCCAACACTGACCCCTGTGGAACACCGCTCGTGACGCTTCCCCACTGATTTCTCCCAATTTATGCAAACTCTCTGCTGCCTATTTGTCAACCATGCCTCTATCCAGGAAAAAATTTCCCCTATTCCATGTGCCTTAATTTTCCTCAATAGTCTCTGATATGGGACCCTGTCAAAAGCCTTACTGAAGTCCATATACACAATATCATATATATAGTGCTTTCCTATATCCTTCCTAAATCTGATTTTTTTCCAACTTAAAACCATTGCTACGAGTCCTGTCTAGGCTAGATATTTTCAGCACGTTATTTACATCCCCTTTATTTATGCCTGTCTTCCATTTATACACCTCAATCATATCCCCCCTAATTCTACGTCTTTCTCGAGTGCAGATTCAGGGCCTCAGTCTATCCTCATAGGGAAGATTTCTGATAAATGGGATCAACTTTGTCACCCTCCTTTGTATATTTTCCAATAGCATTTATATCCATTCTTGCCTGCCATCGGTTCAAACCCCACTAGTTCTGTGGTTTGTTAGCTATCTTATTACGATTTCGCGAATCATGAAAGGTTGGTTTTGCCTTAGTCTAACTAAGCAAGTTGAACATTGAGGTAAGAAGCCGGGGTTCCTGTGGACCAAACTACCTCCCTGGCCTGATGGCTAAAGCTCCCACTTCACACACGGAGGGTCCGGGTTCGATTCCCGGCGGTTGGAAACATTTCGACGCGTTTCCTTATACCTGCTATGTTCACCTAGCAGCAAATAGGTACCTGGGTGTTAGTCGACTGGTGTGGGTGGCATCCTGGGGGACAAGATTGAGGACCACAATAGAAATAAGTTAGTCCTCGATGACGCACTGACTTTCTTGGGTTATCCTGGGTGGCTAACCCTCCGGGGTTAAAAATCTGAACGAAATCTTATCTTAACCTTCGTGGACTTCACATCATAGAAATTCACATATTAGCTATATTAACCAGGTAGTGTCAGGAAACACCCGTCTGCCTCAGATACCAAAATGACGAGAAAATTAAATACCAAGCTACAGAGGTGTGTAGAATATCTAGAGATGCTTAATTAAACCTACAAGTTAGAAGTGGATAACAAAACTTACTTAACAGCAGAAAACAAACAGTAAAGGAAGCCTTTTAAATAGTATACCGAGGCAACGAAGATTAAGACATTAATATGGAAGTGATGACGATGGTTTTGTTCCCTGCAACACAACCTTGTGTACCTTAATGACTTACAATAACCTTGGCTAATGGGGTTAAAAGCCTGTCTACTACACTAATTATTACACTCTGAACACCTCACAAGAAGGATTAAAATGGTGATTATTCTAAGTAAAGTAACACAGAAATATACCTTTCAGTGTATTGTTAGAAGTGTCTTACCTTAAGTATGTATCTGAAGGTGTAGTGGCTGCGGGAGTGAAGCAGCGAGCGTACTACCAGCCTCAGTGTGAGCCCCGTACTGCTGCCTCTGACGCCGGATGCTTCGTCACCACCGCCGCTCCCACGAACCTTCTAGAAGCTCCCTCCTCCTTCAACCCTTCAACCAATCACCGCCAGAAACCCACCTCACCATCAGTTCTGACTGGCTGGCGCTAGTGGCGGGCTGTTCAGTCATTGGTTGACGAGGAGTCCTGCTTCAGCCAGCGTCGCAGGACTGCCAACCCTACCCGGCGCCACGTGTGGCCGCCGCCTCCACCGCCTCTGCCGCCATGCGCGATCCGCCACATGGTGTTATCACCATACAAAGTCCAACCTCACCCACTCCACTGATAAAATGTTTATTTAGCTAATACATCAGCACGAGGAGGTTCTTCGTCAATCTTAAATATACTGACTCTCACGGTAAAGTTGTCGCAGTTGTGGTGGTGCTATTGACGGCATTGATGATGATGGTAGCATTGGCGGTGGTGATACTGGTTCTAGCGGTGGTGATACTGGTTCTGGCGGTGGTGATACTGGTTCTGGCGGTGGTGATACTGGTTCTGGCGGTGGTGATACTGGTTCTAGCGGTGGTGATACTGGTTCTGGCGGTGGTTTACTGGTTCTGGCGGTGGTGATACTGGTTCTGGCGGTGGTGATACTGGTTATGGCGGTGGTGATACTGGTTCTAGCGGTGGTGATACTGGTTCTGGTGATGATACTGGTTCTGATGGTGATGCTGGCTGTGTTGGTGATACTTGTTCTTGTGGTGATAACTGTTCTTGCGGTGGTGATACTGGTGATGGTGATAACGGTGGAGGAGGTGTAATGCTGATGTTGACGGTTGTGAAGATTTAGTGACGGTTGAGGTGGTGACGGGGGAGTGATGGTGGTAGGAGGGAAGGTAGTGGTGATGGTGGTGGGAGGGAGGGTGGTGGGAGGGAGGGTGGGGGTGATGGTGGTAGGAGGGAAGATGGTAGTTGTACTGGAAGTGAAGGTGATAGTGGTATTGGAAGTGGGGGGGGGGGGGCTGAGAGGAAGGAGGTGGTAGTAACAATAAAAATACTTACACATGTAGTAACATATGTACTCCCCTACGTGTGCTCTCCTACACGTGCACATCCTAGAAACTAAGATTTCTTCCAATAAATACCCAATCCTTCCTCCTATGACGAATACCCTTCCAGGAAGAACATCTCAGAACATTTACACGTCTACTGGTTCATGCTAAGCTGCGTCTACTCCCATCCCAGCCCACACTAACCCACAGTATTACCCCAACCCACACTAACCCACAGTATTACCCCAACCCACACTTACCCCGTATTATTTATTGTCTTCAGTGCCGCTACGTGACAGACGGATCCATTTATTCGCATCTCTCGATGCACAACCTGTCATTAAACTAAGTCCGAATGCTTTCAGCCTGAATTCACTGAGTTTGGTAAGATTGTTCAGGAGCAGGACAAGTGTTTCCTGACGCAGGTCTTAGTCACATGATGACCCACCAATGGGAGCTTTTGAGTCATCTGTCTGAGGCCTTCCGCTGGCTAACCCCTTTAAAATTTAAAATTAAATAATTGACTCTGGAACAATATATAATGCATATATGGGTGAAATGTTTCACTTACAAACCTCAATCATATCCTCCATGTACCTACCTGGAGAGTATTCCGGGGATCAACGCCCCCTCAGCCCGGTCCATGACCAGGCCTCCTTGTGGATCAGCTCCTGATCAACGAGGCTGTTACTGTTGGCCGGTTTATTCAAGTTCCTTACACAAGATTTATACAATTAATTTATATATTAAAATATGTGGAAAGTATCGGTATAATACCCGGAACTCTCTCCAGATAATATTGATGTACAGTGCTGACAAGATGAGGATTCCAAGTTGAGGGACTGATTACCTCATGTGTCACTGTCTTCTGTGTATAGTTCTGCAAGGTTCAGGGACTGATCACCTCATGTGTCACTGTCTTCTGTGTATAGTTCTGCAAGGTTCAGGGACTGATTACATCATGTGTCACTGTCTTCTGTGTATAGTTCTGCAAGGTTCAGGGACTGATTACATCATGTGTCACTGTCTTCTGTGTATAGTTCTGCAAGGTTCAGGGACTGATTACCTCATGTGTCCACTGTCTTCTGTGTATAGTTCTGCAAGGTTCAGGGACTGATTACATCATGTGTCACTGTCTTCTGTGTATAGTTCTGCAAGGTTCAGGGACTGATTACATCATGTGTCACTGTCTTCTGTGTTTAGTTCTGCAAGGTTCAGGGACTGATTACATATGTGTCACTGTCTTCTGTGTATAGTTCTGCAAGGTTCAGGGACTGATTACATCATGTGTCACTGTCTTCTGTGTATAGTTCTGCAAGGTTCAGGGACTGATTACATCATGTGTCACTGTCTTCTGTGTATAGTTCTGCAAGGTTCAGGGACTGATTACCTCATGTGTCACTATCTTCTATGCATAGTTCTATAAAGTTGAGGGACTGATTACCTTACCTTCTGCTGTTTACACTGATAATGTCTTTCAATAAAATTACTCAGGTGTTGGGCATATATAATTCCTCACGTGTAAAGTACCTAGGATAACCTAACAAAGTCAAAGCAATTAAAGAATTGTTGGCAGGTGGTAAACAGATGACCTTCGTGTAGTTAATATCTTTTAAGTCTCAGTAACTAACCATTAACCCCTCAATCTTATAGGAGTCAGGAATCGCGGGAAGAACTAAAAGCCATAAATGAAATTGAAAGAAACCCAAAGTATTTCTTTTCCTATGCCAAATCAAAGTCGAGAACAACGTCCAGTATTGGGCCCCTACTTAAACAAGATGGGTCCTACACAGATGACAGCAAGGAAATGAGTGAGCTACTCAAGTCCCAATATGACTCAGTTTTTAGCAAGCCGCTAACCAGACTGAGAGTCGAAGATCAAAATGATTTTTTTATGAGAGAGCCACAGAATTTGGTTAACACAAGCCTATCTGATGTTATCCTGACGCCAAATGACTTCGAACAGGCGATAAATGACATGCCCATGCACTCTGCCCCAGGGCCAGACTCATGGAACTCCGTGTTCATCAAGAACTGCAAGAAGCCCCTATCACGAGCTTTTACCATCCTATGGAGAGGAGCATGGACACGGGGGTCGTCCCACAGTTACTAAAAACAACAGACATAGCCCCACTCCACAAAGGGGGCAGTTAAAGCAATAACAAAGAACTACAGACCGATGCACTAACATCCATATAAAAATCTTTGAAAGGGTCCTAAGAAGCAAGATCGCCACCATCTAGAAACCATCAATTACACAACCCAGGGCAACATGGGTTTAGAACAGGTCGCTCCTGTCTGTCTCAACTATTGGATCATTACGACAAGGTCCTAGATGCACTAGAAGACAAAAAGAATGCAGATGTAATATATACAGACTTTGCAAAAGCCTTCGACAAGTGTGACCATGCGCGTAATAGCGCACAAAATGCGTGCTAAAGGAATAAAGGAAAAGTTGGTAGATGGATCTATAATTTCCTCACAAACAGAAACACAAAGAGTAGTAGTCAACAGAGTAAAGTCCGAGGCGGCTACGGTGAAAAAACTCTGTTCACAAGGCACAGTACTCGCTCCCTTCTTGTTTCTCATCCTCATATCTGACATAGACAAGGATGTCAGCCAAAGCACCGTGTCTTCCTTTGCAGATGACACCCGAATCTGCATGACAGTGTCTTCCATTGCAGGCATTGCAAGGCTCAGGCGGACATCAACCAAATCTTTCAATGGGCTGCAGAAAACAATATGAAGTTCAACGATGAGAAATTTCAATTACTCAGATATGGTAAACACGAGAAAATTAAAACTTCATCAGAGTACAAAACAAATTCCGGCCACAAAATAGAGCGAAAAACTAACGTCAAAGACCTGGGAGTGATCATGTCGAGGATCCACCTGCAAGGACCATAAAATTGTATCAATCGCAGCTGCTAGAAAAATGACAGGATGGATAATGAGAACCTTCAAAACTAGGGATGCCAAGCCCATGATGACACTCTTCAGGTCGCTTGTTCTATCTAGGCTGGAATATTGCTGCACACTAACAGCACCTTTCAAGGCAGGTGAAATTGCTGACCTAGAAAATGTACAGAGAACCTTCACGGCGCGCATAACGGAGATAAAACACCTCAATTACTGGGAGTGCTTGAAGTTCCTGAACCTGTATTCCCTGGAATGCAGGTGGGAGAGATACATGATTATATACACCTGGAAAATCCTAGAGGGACTAGTACCGAACTTGCACACGAAAATCACTCACTACGAAAGCAAAACACTTGGCAGACGATGCAACATCCCCCCAATGAAAAGCAGGGGTGTCAGTAGCACGTTAAGAGACCATACAATAAGTGTCAGGGGCCCGAGACTGTTCAACTGCCTCCCAGCATACATAAGGGGGATTACCAATAGACCCCTGGCAGTCTTCAAGCTGGCACTGGACAAGCACCTAAAGTCGGTGCCTGACCAGCCGGGCTGTGGCTCGTACGTTGGTTTGCGTGCGGCCAACAGTAACAGCCTGGTTGATCAGGCTCTGATCCACCAGGAGGCCTGGTCACAGACCGGGCCGCGGGGGCGTTGACCCCCGGAACTCTCTCCAGGTAAACTCAAGGGACACCGGTGAGGGGCTCTTGATCCAAGGAACTGAGCTATCCTCCTCTTCCATAGGGGTTATATGGCCTATGTACTCCCTATAGGTTTAGGTCTTCGAACCCCTCCTCCCACTCCTCACGATTAAAATAAACCAATCAAGTTCGTTATAAGTCGAACTGAAACGCCTTCATAAGTTAAAGTCTCCTATGTCCGGGTTATTTGTGTATTAAAGCAATCACTACCCAAAGCAACTTATTTTTGTTGGGATTCTTGTATTTCCGTTAGGATCCTTATATTTCCATTGAGGTCCTAGTGTTTTCGTTGGGATCCTCCTATTTCCATTGGGATCCTTGTATTTCAGTTGGGATCCTTGTATTTCAGTTGGGATCCTTGTATTTCAGTTGGGATCCTTGTATTTCATTTGGGATCCTTGTATTTCCGTTGGGGTTCTCGTATTTCCGTCGGGGTCGT